TATGTCCACCTCTCTACGATGCCCTCTCTCCAATAACCTACCTCAAGGGTGGATTTTCAATTTTTTTAAAAGGAGGCATTGAGCAAGCTTCGGCTGGGGTTAGGGTTAAAGACTTTCACACAAAATAGGAGGGGTGAAGTGAAATTTTGGTGGGGTTGAACACTTTATAAAGAGAACACTTATAAAGGTTAGAGAGATTCTAGGGGGTTAACCCCCCCCCCCCCACCACCACGAAATCCGCCCATAACCACCCCTGATACGATTGATTTTACTTCCCAACGCAGGTTCACTTAATTGATTTTGATGATGAAACATGTCTGGTTAATAAACATGTGTTTCACCATTCGGTTGGTGAAATATGGTAAGAATCTTGATACATTTTAGTTTCTAGTAAATATTTATAGTGTCAGTGTTAGGTGAACAAGGTTTAACAAGAATAATGGAATTTTGTCTACTAGGCACATTAGTTCAAGTCCATCAAATAAGGATATTATTTCAACATGTTATAATCAAGGTAGGATTTTGGTTGGAAAATTAGTGTGGTACTTAGTATGGTATATGGTTGTTGGTATGGTAGAGTATATATGATATTGGTATGGTACTTGTTATGGTTTGGCATTTAGCATGGTATGGTGCTTTATATGGTATCATTGGTGTGGTACTTTGTATGGTGCTTGGTATGGTACTTTGTATGATAAGGTGCTTGGTATGATATGGAGCTTGGTATGGTATGGTATGGTATGGTATGGTACTTTGTATGGTAAGGTGCTTGGTATGGTAGTTGTTATGGTATGGTGCTTGGTATAGTTTGGTATTAAGCATGGTATGGTACTTTGTATGGTGCTTGGTGTGGTATGGTACTTTGTATGGTATGGTGATTGGTACTTTATATTGATACCATGGTGTGGTACTTGATATGGTACAGTACTTGGTATGGTATAGCATACTTACTTGCCATGATCTGGCAGTTGGTATGCTATAAACACAGCATGGTATGGCATCGAGAGTTTCCTTGAGAAAACTCTTGACATTACCAAAACTATGTTTGAAATAATCCTGTAGTTATTGACAACAAATCAGAAATGAAAGCTGCATTATGGAGATTACCACTGGTGGACGAAACACAACCACCGTCACAGACTGCAGCGCCTGGTCATCCCAGATCACTTTATAAACTTTGTGATTTAGACAGCAATGGAGAAAGTATGAAAAGGTAGAATTGAATAGAACTAATCAACTGTTTATGCCCATTGCAAAGTAATCTTTTCCCGTATTGCTACCCCATTCACACTTTCGAATATAAACTCGCTGAAGTTATCGTTAAAAATATTACAGTCTCGTCCAGTCAGTTGAAAAAACCTGCTGTCTTTAGTAGAGGCTAACTGAATGACTAGTTCTCGTGCGCTCGCGGTGAAACAGAAAACTGTACATTGCGGAAATCAAAGATGAGACCGAAACTGGACATCAATAAAATCTCGCTCTATTCCTTTCTCTAATGAGTAATGGTTTTTATAGTGTTTTATGGAATCCGTCAGGCGATGGTACACAACTTATCACATTGTCAGATCAGCATCTTAAAATATGGCAACTCAACGCAGACGCACAAGCTGTCGAGGTAACATCGAAGTTTTAAAGGCAGCCTTGGTTGATGTCAGTTGCGCGACTGCCCCACGCTAAAGTCTGGATTACACTTTCAAAGTTTCTGTGATCACAGTAGGAATTTTGCATACGTAAATTCTAACTTTTGAAGGATTTGTAAGAAATGTTCGAGGGAAGTTAGTCATTGTTTAACAGTAAGTGAATTCCCTCAAACATTTTTTACAAATCCTGATAGTGTAAACTAGAAAGGCTTTAATAGCGACCCACTGAATAGGTTATCCTACCATGCAAATAAAATATATTTCTGCCTCAGGAAATAGACACCACAGTTTTAGAAGGTAAAGGTCAACCGCGCTTCACAACGGGAGCCTGGAACCCACATCATGGCGGATCACAAGTAGCGACAGCCAATGAGAGTACAGTACGAGGCTGGGACCTCCGTTCTATGAGGTGACTAAATCTACGTTTACACTGTAGAGAATAGCTTTAAGTAGCGACGTGAAAAAATACCTATCCCACACCTTTTAAGAACGCTAATTTCAGAGGAATTAGAGATGTTGTTTCGCTCGGCTTCTGAAAGTTGCACATTCCGTATCGTTAGGTGCTTTTATATGTATTAATAATTCGTGAGGAAATCAATGCCGTATTGGTGGTTTTATGTGATAAAAAATCATGTTCATTTACAAAAACTTTAGCTTTGATTTTCTCGGCTTAGAGAACGTTGATTTTTAAAATTACTTCGCCAATGAACTCATAAGATGGGTCGTTTTTTAAGCCATTTAAAACACTCGCATGCTGTGCTTTATCAGATATAAGAGACTCGCCTGTCGCCTCGTGTTTTATATCTGATAAAGCATTCCTGCTCGCGTTTTAAATAGTACTTTTAACAATGTCCCCCAATATTGAGTTATATATTTAGCTAACCCAACAGATTTTCAACAAGACTCTCTTTTCAGACAGGTGTACGCTCTGGACAACGCGCATGGTCAGTGTGTTCGTGACGTGGACTTTAATCCCAACAAACAGTACTACCTCGTGACGTGTGGGGATGATTGCAAAGTGAAGTTCTGGGACACCAGAAATCCTAACGAATCCCTTATGGTCCTATCCGATCACTCACATTGGTAAGTCGTTAGGAGTCTGCAAATCAAATGTAATATGCGCCAAACTGACGCAAAAAGTAAAAACTACCTTTTCAAACGCCAGAACTCCCTTCACGATGCCAGAACTGGGTTTTGAAATGCCAGAACTCTCTTTACGAATGCCAGAACTGGGTTTTCAAATGCCAGAACTCTCTTCACGAATGCCAGAACTGGGTTTTCAAATGCCAGAACTCTCTTTACGAATGCCAGAACTGGGTTTTCAAATGCCAGAACTCTCTTCACGAATGCCAGAACTGGGTTTTCAAATGCCAGAACTCTCTTTACGAATGCCAGAACTGGGTTTTCAAATGCCAGAACTCTCTTCACGAATGCCAGAACTGGGTTTTCAAATGCCAGAACTCTCTTTACGAATGCCAGAACTGGGTTTTCAAATGCCAGAACTCTCTTCACGAATGCCAGAACTGGGTTTTCAAATGCCAGAACTCTCTTTACGAATGCCAGAACTGGGTTTTCAAATGCCAGAACTCTCTTCACGAATGCCAGAACTGGGTTTTCAAATGCCAGAACTCTCTTTACGAATGCCAGAACTGGGTTTTCAAATGCCAGAACTCTCTTCACGAATGCCAGAACTGGGTTTTCAAATGCCAGAACTCTCTTTACGAATGCCAGAACTGGGTTTTCAAATGCCAGAACTCTCTTCACGAATGCCAGAACTGGGTTTTCAAATGCCAGAACTCTCTTTACGAATGCCAGAACTGGGTTTTCAAATGCCAGAACT